CTCAGAGTTGGTGGAAATGGTTCGAGCGGGGTCAGCGCAGGACTCCTCTGGAGCCCCTGTCCGTTGTTGGGGCTGTGGCCAACCAGGCCATCTCCTCAGACGTTGTCCTAAGGCAGCCAAGAAGCAGGGAAACGACGCAGGGTCTGCATGGGGGGGGCATCGCAGACCCTTACCGTAGCCTCCACACCATCGTCACCGGCAGGCAGGGTCCGACAGCACCAACAAGGGACCCTGTCTCAGACTTCCCCGGAAAGGGATTCGAGCCGAGGACAAGGGACCATGGTTGCGGTGGTTGGCCGCACTTGTGTTGGCGATTTTTGTTATGTTCCAGTCACAGTGGAAGGGATTCCCTGCACAGCCCTAATTGACACTGGTTCCACAGTAACACTAGTGAGGCCTGATGTGGTGACAGACTGGACTCGGATTCAGCCCACTACAGTGCAGCTGCGCACAGTCACAGGGGACATGGCACCTATGAAAGGGAGGGGGACAATGACTGTTAATGTAGGTGGCCGATCTATCACCCATCCTGTGTGGGTTGCAGAGGTGCAGGACAGGTGCATATTGGGGTTGGACTTTTTAAGGGCTGCGGGGTGCCAGTTGGATTTAGGTGGGGGGACATGGAGTTTTAAGGAAGGCCCTCTCATTCCGCTGATGCCCACAGCTTCCGATTCAGCCTGGGTGGAGCCTGTGGTCCGTCACACAGAACCTCAGATTGCAGCTGTTCGACACATCTCACCACAGTACAACCAGATTGTTGCCGCAACTGCCCCCACACCTACAAACCCTGTACTTCCCCCAGGGTGGGTGACGCATGAGACCGAAGATGCGTCAGTAACCATGCTGCGTAAGATCTGGGCTGAGAACTGTAGGGGTTTGGACGCCCAGCAGCAAGAACAACTGTGGCAGCTGCTCGTGGACTTTAAGGACAGCTTTGCCCTGAGGGAAGACCAGGTGGGTCGGACTCAGTTGGTGGAACATGACATCCTGACGGGAGATGCTTCTCCGATAAAATGTCGGCCCCGCCGGCTCCCCCTGGCCCGGCAGGAAGCATGTGACAAGGCAGTGTTGGGCATGTTGCAGGCTGGCATTATCGAACCTTCAGACAGCCCGTGGGCGGCTGCGGTTGTCATGGTGCCCAAAAAGAATGGAGAGTGGCGCCTGTGTGCTGATTACAGGCCGCTGAATGGGGTGACGGAGAAAGACTCATACCCACTTCCTAGGGTCGATGAGTCACTGGACCTGGTGTCCGGCTCCAACTGGTTCTCGTCTCTGGACCTTCGGAGCGGTTATTACCAGGTCCCCTTATCAACAAGTGCCAGACCAAAGACTGCTTTTTGCACGGGGCGGGGGCTGTGGCAGTTTAAAGTGCTCTCATTTGGGCTGTGCAATGCACCTGCCACCTTCTCCAGGCTGATGGACCGGGTGCTAGCTGACATCCCTCGCCAAGAGTGCCTGGTGTATCTGGATGACATACTGGTCCATGGCACCTCTTTTGCAGCGGCTCTGGGATCACTCCGCCAGGTGTTGGAGAGAATTAGAGCAGCGGGCCTGAGACTCCACCCAAATAAATGTCATTTCATGCAACAAGAAGTGACATTTCTGGGCCACCGGGTTGGAAGAGAAGGAATCAGCACAGTGGAGGACAAAGTAAAGATGGTGGCAGAGTGGCCAATCCCCACGACTCAGAGAGATCTTAAAAGTTTCCTGGGGCTGGCTTCTTATTACCGGAGGTTTGTGCGGGGTTTTGCAAGTATTGCGGCCCCCCTGTTCCAACTTCTCCAGAAGAACCAAAACTACGTGTGGACTGAACAGTGTCAAGGAGCATTTGACTGTCTTCGGAAAACTCTGACTGAGGCTCCAGTCCTTGCTCCTGCTGATCCCTCTCTCCCCTTCATCCTTGACACGGATGCAAGTAACGTAGGGGTTGGGGGGGTCCTTTCCCAGTTGGGGAAGGGAGGAGAGAGAGTGGTAGGGTATTTCAGCAGGTCCTTTAACAAAGCGGAGAAGCGCTACTGCGTGACAAGGCGGGAGCTGCTGGCGGTGGTACTTTCTCTGCGCCATTTTAAGTACTACCTGTGTGGCCTGCATTTCACTATAAGGACAGACCATTCTGCTCTACAATGGCTGATGTCTTTTAAAGAACCTGAGGGTCAGGTGGCCCGGTGGCTGGAAGAGCTGCAGTCCTACAACTTCTCAGTTGTCCATCGGGCTGGAGCTAAGCACGCTAATGCCGATGCCCTCTCCCGTCGCCCTTGTGCTGCAGGGGGATGCAGTTATTGTGACCGGAGGGAGAGGCTGGAGGAGGAACAGCTGCAGCGCAGCCAGCCAGGATCATGCCAGGGTGACTCAGTAATCTGCAGGGAGCTGCAGGCAGTTGGCACAGACAGCTGGAGGCATCAACAGGAACAGGATCCTGACATCCAGCCTGTGTTGCATTGGGTGGAGAGCCAATTGAAGCCACCATGGGAGGGGGTTGCTGGGTTCTCACTGGCAACTAAAGGATTGTGGTCCAAATTTGAGGCTCTGCGTCTGGAAGAGGGGGTGCTGCAAAGGGCTTGGAAAGACCCCGCCACAGGTGAGGAGCGGTGGCAGATTGTAGTCCCCCAAGGTCTGAAAGACGTAGTCCTGCAGGCCATGCATGGAGCATCTGGGTCCGGACATTTTGGCGTCACAAAAACACTCCGTCGCCTCCGGCAGGGGTTTTATTGGGGCCGGTGCAGGAGGGACGTGGAGGACTTTTGCCGCCGCTGTGACCCCTGTACAGCACGGAAGGGGCCGACAGGTCAGTCACGTGCCCGTCTGCAACAGTTTGTTGTAGGGGCCCCTATGGAGAGAGTGGCTGTGGACATTATGGGTCCGCTGCCTCGCTCAGACAAGGGAAACTGTTATGTTCTGTCAGCTATTGACTATTTTACAAAATGGCCAGAGGCTTACGCCATCCCTGATCAGGAGGCAGAAACAGTGGCTGATGCCTTGGTGGGGGGACTGATTAGCAGGTTCGGGGTACCAGACAGTATACATAGCGACCAGGGCAGAAATTTTGAGTCACGGGTGTTTTCTGTCATGTGCAGCCGTTTTGGCATCCAGAAAACAAGAACAACGCCATTACATCCCCAGAGCGATGGTCTGGTGGAAAGGCTTCACCGCACCTTAGGACAGCAGATGGCCATCCTCACAGCGGAACATCAGCGGGACTGGGATGAGCACCTTCCACTGGTGTTAATGGCATGCCGCTCAGCTGTACAAGACTCCACAACTTGCACTCCATCACTCCTCATGTTGGGGAGGGAGTTGCGCACACCAGCTGAACTGTCTTTCGGACGCCCTCCAGATGCACCTGCTGTTCCAGCCGGTCCTGAGTATGCCAGAAAGCTTCAGGACAGGTTGGAGACAGCACATGCATTTGCTCGGAGACAACAGGAACAGGCAGGCGTGCGTCAAAAACGGAACTATGATGTAAGAGCTAAGGGTCGACACTTTACAGCCGGAGAGCTAGTCTGGGTTTACAACCCTCGGAGAAAGAAGGGCCGTTGCCCAAAGCTGGACAGTCAGTGGGTGGGTCCCTGCAGAGTGTTGGAGCGCATGGGGGAGGTGGTTTACAGAGTGCAGATGCTCCACAACAGGAGAAGAGTAGCACTGCACAGAGACAGGTTGGCACCCTATCAAGGCAGGGCTGCACCTCAGACCCCGGAAGGCCATCAGTCGGGGTCGCCGGTATCACCACCAGCCTCCCCGGAAGCCATGCCGCTGTCGCAGAATGATGTCCCAGTGGTGGGGTCCGAAGCTCCGCAGGGAGCTCGACCCCAGCGGACGAGGAGGGCCCCAAGACGGTTGGATGACTTTGTTTGTTCCCTCGTGGGCGAGGAACTCTGTAGTGGGGGGGTAATGTAGCGATTCTGTGTTTTAGTTCTGCTCGTGTCGTTATGGTTATGTGTATTAGTTTTGTGTTCATTGTGATCTTTATGGTGATGTGTATAAAGTTGTAGGCTTCCCCTGACTGTCTCTGCTGGACTCCCACTCACATGTGAGAGATCTGTCATGTGGGCGGGGGATCAGGGGAGCAGCAGGAGAGGACCGGGAGAGGGGAGAGTTCGAGTGTGTTAGCGGGAGGCTAGTTCGGGAGCGCTACGGTTTGTTGCAGGTGTGAGCTGCGCCTCAGAAATAGCAGCTCGGTTTTCAACGACTAATAAACCCGGTTGGTGGGACTTCTACCTGTCGTGTCCTGGCGTCATTACAGTATGTATGTATGTATGTATGTATGTATGTATGTATGTATGTATGTATGGATGGATGGATGGATGGATGGATGGATGGATGGATGGATGGATAGATATTGTTCACAACTCAGACTTGGGCAAACTGGACTAAACAACACCTTATACATAATAGAGAAACCAGATGGGGATTGTGACTGTGGAGAAGATGAGACAATAGAACATGTTTAGTTTCTTTGTCAAAATTATCAGGAATAGAGGAATAAATTAATTCAAAAATTTGACAATATGTAAATATGAAAAAATTCAGGAATCAGACTAACAAAGACCCTCTATTGTGAGGAGTGAGAGGGCAATCTGCATGTGTCATTCTGCAAGCCCACAGAATACCTCAGCCCACACTCCATGTTTCTTTGAATTGAGAAAGCTCCTCGGATGAGAAGCACAACGTCTTCAGCTGCAGAACAGAAGTCTGGTTCTTTTGCTTTTAATCTTGTTTGGATTTAACATGGATGACTGAGAATCTTCACAAGCAAATATGAAAATAAAAGTAGACAAAATTGAATTATTAAAAAAAAATCAAGTAACAAAAGTTATTAGTCCATTTTTTTTAGGCAGATTAAATTGTTTGATAGGATCTGAGGGTTATTTCATTATTTATTTTAAATATTTTGTAGCGGCATGCTGTTCTCACTCCTTTCCATGTGGTGGCGGTAATGCATCCTTAAGCTTTTTGCCAACCGCCAATAAACAAGGAAGAAGAACGTCTCACAATGCGCATGCGCGTCCTGCAGTCTGACAACATCGTACTTTTGGTCACGTATCTGTCGCCTGTCCGGAGCTTTTACCCGTTCGTCTGGAGATGAACAGCGTCGGGGAGGCCTGCACCGACCTGAAGCGGGAGTACGATCAGTGTTTCAACCGCTGGTTCGCGGAGCAGTTCCTGAAGGGGGACCGCGGCGGCGACCCGTGCACGGAGAGCTTCCGGAGTTACCAGCGGTGCGTGCAGAAGGCCATCAAAGACAAGGACATCCCGATCGATGGGGTGGACTTTATGGGCCCCAACAAGGATAAACCTGAGAGCTGATGGAGTCCGGGTGGTCCAGAACAATCCTGAACCGGGTCCAGGATGCCTGTGCAGACAGACTAGTCCGTGAACTGGGTCACGTCACGGTACCTGAGGCCTGAAACTTGTCGAGACAAAGTTCAAATTCCACGAGTCACGTGGGCCTTATCGTCCGCCATGTTGGAAAGTTTACTATAAAAATATTTATATGAATGTCCGCCATGTTGGAAAGTTTGACTAAAATAGTCATATTAATGTCGGCCATGTTGGAAATATTACAATAAAAATATTTTAACGACCGCCATGTTGGAAACGTTTTGACTAAAATATTCACACTAATGTCGGCTGTGTTGGAAAGTTTATGACAAATGATCATATTAATGTAGATGCTGGAGAAAAATGGCCCTGGTATTTACCCAAAAAGAACGACGCTCGACGACAAGATTTTTAACTGGAATTTATCTGAGAGGACAGATTTTCAGGACAGACTACAAATATACAAACTACAGACAAGAATCTGCCCCGAGCTGCGTTCTCCCCTCGCTTTTATACCCTTATCAGTTCAGCGGAGTTCACAGAGCTCAGAAGGTGTCCTGGCCGTCTGTTAACCAAACGTATGGTTCATGGGCAGAGATAAGATGGTGTCTTGGGAGACGCTTATGATTATGTCTTGGGCTTCTTTTTCTTAGCCATGGTAATGGAAACAACTCTGACCAAAAATTATGCGATAGTCAGCCACGTTGGAAATAAATGCCCATGTTAATGTTGGCCATGTTGAAAACAAAATATTCACATCTTAACGTGATTCTTGACCTGCCATTGTGTATCTGTTCTTCTCAAACCCAGCCGGTCGAAGCAGATGGACGCTTGTCCTGAGTCTGCTAAAGGTTTCTTCCTCATGAGGGGGTTTTTTCTTTCCACTGTCGCCTTCATGCTTGCTCAAGATGAGAGTTCTGTGATGGAGTTAAACTCAAAGCAGTCTGCTAAGATAAATAATGTTAAATTATTTTTATATAAGAATGTTTCTGTTCAGTGCCCTGACTTCTGTTGTGACTTGGCACTATATAAATAAACTGAATTGAATGACCGCCATGTTGGAAATTTTACGACTAAAATATTCATGTCGGCCATGTTGGAAACTTTTTGACATATTCATCTTGATGTTGGCAATACGGAAAATTTACAACTAAACGATTCACATTAAAGTCAGCCATGGTGTTAGAAATTTTATGACCAAATTGTTCATATTCATGTCGGCCATGTTGGAAAATTTACAATTAAATAATTCTTAATGTCGGCCATGTTGGAAAATGAATGATAAAAACATTAACGTGTCGGCCATATTGTTTACAACTAAAATATTGATATTGTCGGCCATGTTGTAGTCTTTACAACCAAACAAAAAAAAAGTGACTCGTTTCAGCTGCTGCTTTTCTTTTTGATTTAATTTAATCAGACACTAAATGATCTGATGAGTTAATAAAAGGAATAATTTAGACATCTGAATTTAATTCTTTTTCTGCCCCGCTGAGATTAAACACTTTGATGTGTCCAGATTATTAACTGAACTGTAATAAGTTGTAGCACCACATGTTGGTATTTAATCCCAGTGTGTAAAATGATTTCAGATTAGTAAAGTTTGTCCTTCAGCTGCTGGTAGAACATGTTAAATAGAAAATATCAACCTTTTATCAAAAATGAAGTTTAATGTTCATGACTGTTTTTGTGTGATTCAGTTTTATTTCATCTTTTCCCAAAATCTTTTTTAAACGTTTGAACGTTCACTCGTAAACACCCTGATTCATGCTCAATAATCCAGGTGGAAAAATCCAACACTGTTAATGGACTCCAGAACCATCTGAGCACCATCAAACTGGTTGACCCACTGTGTGAAGGTCTGAGTTTGTTGCGGCTCCTCGGCTGATGAAGTCATTTGGATGAAAGAAGAAACGTTTCAACACAAAGAAACCATCCAGAGGACCTGACTGAACTTTGTTGGATTCACTCGTGAACTTTTATATCAAAACTATTTCAGTTTTCCTTCATCTCTAAATCGTAAAATATGATCATTTAAAGTTTGAACTCTTGTGTTTATTGGACTTGAATGAAATGTAGCTTATAAGCTTGATCAATTGTTTGCTTTATGAATAAATAATTTTAGATGAAGCCAAAATGCAGAACTCGCCAAACTTTTTCATTTGTATATTTTTAGAAACCGTGCAGTTCTTAATGAGGAGCAGCGTTGTGCTCATGGCCTTCAAAGGGTGCGTACGTACAAAAACGTGGCGTACGCACTTTTCCACACCGAACTTGCGATGCATCAAGAACGAAATGAGCGTGGGAATGTTGGCAGGACCACGTCAACGTCTGAACATTCTGAAAACAGCTGCTGAGTCCGGCAGTCGTCATCATGGGACAGAAATCTGCCTCTAAAAACGCTCTACCAGTGGTGTAGTTACACTTTTGCAGTGGGTATACTGTGCTTAGAAACCAAAGTACACCAGTTAGTACAATGTCAATTTATTTTGATTTTTAAGCATATTGAACATTTTCAAATTCCTCTGATGCTTATATTTAAATAAATGAACAACAAACTTTGTACAACCGTTGGATTTGCATTAAAACCATGTTATAGAATTTATAAAACAGTATAAAAGCAAAACATGTTCAAGTATTAATTAGTAAGTACAGAATTATACAATAATCTGCTGGATAAGCGAATGTAATAAGCAAGCGCTGTATATAGATACATTGTTATGGAAGCATTTAACACAGTTTAACGTATCAATGACGTGTGCCTAATGATGTGTCATGTATCATTGGGCACTTTTAAGTGGGCGTACTGAAATTCTTTTCTAGTTTGTATACGTCATATGTCCATGTAGACTACACCACTGCTCTCTACGTATTGCTCCATTTGTTATATCCTCTAATAAGTCTAAAGTAATGTTGTTAAAAGAGTTTTCTGCACCGCTTTGTGCAGCTTTCATCTCCACTCATCTAATTTCATACACGTGGAACTGTTCATCAGTTTTCACATCATGAACAGTTTCCCAGTATCACCTGTTAAGAGTCGCCAACGGACCAGTAACCACAGAAACGTGTGCGCCGTCCATGAAGTTGCGCTCGTTTCATTCTTGATACTTCTGAAGTTTTGCGTGGAGAACAAAAAAAAAAGGGGGGCGTACGCTCCTTTTTTTGTGCGTACGCACCCTGCGTACACGAGGCGCCTGTTGGTGGCGAGCTGGTCGCCCTGCAGGGATCTGGGGCCTCGTGCACAAAGAAGTGGCTCCCTCCTCCACTCGAGGCAGAACCTCACTCAACCCAGAGAAGACTGTCCACCATTTTCTGACCGATCCTCATAACAAATGCCGGGTGTTTTATTTTTAAAGAAAGAACATTTTGTTTGTGAATCTCGTCGTTGGACTCTGGTAGTTAAATGGTAAATGGACTGCACTTATACAGCACCTTTCTATCTTATCAAGACACTCAAAGCGCTTTACAACACAATGTCCTCACTTACCCATCCATACAGCACTCTACTAGATCTATACAAAGACTAATCAGAGCTTTATCACACATTCACCATGGGACACACATCAGAGGCAATGAGGGGTTCAGTGTCTTGCCCAGGGGCACTTCAGCATGTGACTGCCGGTGGAATTGAACCCCCGACTCTTGCATTGGAGGCTGACTGCTCTAACCACTCAGCCACAGCCGCCCCATAGTAATTTTTTATGAGCTGGCAAACCAACAAGCTCAAGAAACGTGCGTATTCAACAACATTTTCTAATAGTTTTTATACGAATGTCTTGAGATTTATCACAAACTGAACACAATAAAAGTTTGAATGTTGACAGATTGACTGATTTCCCAGCAGCAGTCATTTATCTTTCCACAGATCAGATTATTGTTCATAAATCCAGCTGTAAAAAGTTATAATCGTAAATTTCCGTGTTATAAAGTATGATGGCATCAGTTTATTCCAGGTCAGAGATTAACCTTAAATCCATGGAAGAGGAACCACTACTGATCTGCGCTGGAATAAAGCTCTGAAAATTAAAATGTACTCATCTGTAATGACTGGAAGCAGAGGAAGATCTTAAAGCAAACTTTATTATAAAATATAAACTTTATTAGCAAGAGAAGAAGTTTACCAAACTGGGTTTTAGAATAAAGTTTGATTTTGAACATTTATTGAAGAGCAGAGCGTCTGTCGGCTCGTGTGCTGCTGAAGACATTGACGCCTGTTAATGGTAAAGCTTCAGTTCAGTGTTGACGTCAGGAGGAGCCGTCTGGGTCCAGTCTGTCAAACAGGAAGTGTCTGAAAGGGTTCAGCACACGGCGCCGTTCAGTGGGACTTTATTACAAACACGAGCTGAGGAGCAGAGAACATCCATCTGTCCTCCATCACATCCAGCTCTTGTTTACAACAGAGTCAGTCGGATCTGTGAAGTGGTCCGATATCAGCAGAAGCAGATGTTCCTGTTGGAGAGTTCTGTTCCAGAGAAACGTCCTTCTGTCTGGAAGAGTCAGATTCTGAGTTCAACTCAACAAACGAGAAGCTTTAAAGTGCTCCATGAAGCTGAAGGTCCAGTCTGTGCCACTCCATCAGAACCAGAACAAACACCATCCTCTTCATGTACACCTTGCTACCAGGTTGGATCCCCTCACAGCACAACGTTGGAGGCGTTCCTCAGAGGTTCTGGTCCATTTTGACGCGTCAGCGTCACACAGTTCTTGCAGATCCGTGTGAACGTCCAGGATGTGAGCATCTGGTCCCACCACATCCCAAAGGTTCTGACTGGACTGGGATCTGGTGGAGGCATGGGAGTCCAGTGAATCCAGACTCTTCAGACCAGGAAGAGTTCCTCCAGGAGCCTCAGTTTCCTGTTTGGACAGGAAGTGGCACCTGCTGTGATCTGCTGCTGGAGACCGCCTGCTTCACATCTGGACGTGTTTATCGTCGTGGTTCTGAAGACGGTCTCCAACCAGTCTGACATTAACGAGGCCTTTTTTTCCACACAAACGCTGCTCACAGGTGTTTTCTCTCTTTTTGGACCATTTTCTGTAAACCCTGGAGACAATTGTGGGAAAAAAAAATCCCAGCAGATCAGCAGGTGCTAAACTTCTCAGACCAGCAACCATGACATGTCCACTGTTCTTCCTCCTTCTGACGCCTGGTCTGCTCTACGTGCCTAAAGGCCCCGAGGTGCTGCCATGTGGTTGGCTGAGGAGATATCTGTGTAACAGGCGGACCTGATGGAGTGTCCGCTGAGCCACGGTGCGTCTCTACGTCCCATTCCAGATGAAATGAGTCAAAGTTCTCATGAGACTTTTCTTCTTCTGAAGATCTCCAACAGTCTCGATGACGAGAACAGTTCATGAAGACAAACTCCGGCAGGACTCGTCGTTAATCCTCTGAACGGTGCTGAGAAGATTACCGAGGAATACATCTGCGTTCTGCTCCACGAGGAGTTCACACTGAAGACAGTCGAACTGCGGCTGTGGAGGGAGGAGACAAACACAGACGTTCGAGTCATTAAAGAAACGTAAAAACATCACAAACCTTCACGTTTTTATTCTTAGATAAACGCACAAGTAAAAAAAAAAACTGTCAAAATCATTTAAACTCGCCGATAAACATAAAACCATCAAACTGCAGCGACAACGCTGATCACACACACACACACGCACGCACGCACGCACACACACACACACACACACAGAAAACACATCTTCCACTTTTAAGGTGAGGTTGATGCTAAAAACTAAATGTGATAAATCACTAAAATAAGTTGTCACAGTTATAAACCCATGATAAAACTTTTCAGAGTTTTTGTTCCTGAAGTGTAAAAATAATTTTTGATACAAAAATGTGAGTTTTTGCACCAAACAAATTTCACAAACAGCTAAATATTAATTTTTTGCTGTAAATACGGACACCATTTGTGATGTGTCTATAAAAAACACCCAGCTGTTTTTCTTGAATGGACGGTTCCACTTCACTTCAGGCTCAGGTCCTCTACCAGCAGCCTGGGTTCTGAGGGTTCTGGTCTGGATCTTAGCTGCTCCTAGGACTGTTGGATCTGGTGGAGCCGCTCTTCCAGTTTGGGGGTCACAGCACCGAGTGCTCCAATGACCACTAGGTCTACTGAAGCCTGGACTCTCTGTCCCTGACTGGACTGTGCTGGACTGTCCTGTCATCAGGGTGCAAGATCCAGGCAGGCAAAGCATACATACATGAACTGGGTTTGTACATACATGAACTGGGTTTCTTTTTCAGAAACAGATCCTGTCTAACCCTGAATGTTAGGAAACATCTTGTATCTGTGACTTTCCTTCCCTCCATTGATTACGGTCACATTATTTACATGAATGCTCCTACAAGAACCCTGCAGATGTTGGATGCTGTCTATCATGGTGCACTAAGATTCATAACTGGCTGTGATTATCGTACCCACCACCGCACCCAGTATTCACTGGTTAACTGGTCATCATTAACTTCACATAGACTCTCTCACTGGTACATTTTCATCTTTAAATCACTTCTTGGTCTGCTGCCTTCATACATCTCCTCCTAAATGTCACTGCATGAGTGCAGCTATAGCGTGCGCTCTCAGGACATTATTACCTGCAGTGTTCCCTCAGTGAGAAATGAACTTGGCAAAAGGGCCTTCTCCTACTCCGCTCCTGTTTCCTGGAATATCTTACAAAAAGATCTGAAGCTCTTGGTCTTGACTTCCCTACGTGGCTTCAAACATCTTTTAAGTTCATAGAAAAAACAATGCAGACAGGAACATCTGGAATAATGTATTGGAACATCTGTGCCAAGTATGTACTGGAGGTCTCACAGTCGGAGTGAGTGACGCCACCAGTGGAGAATGGAACGGCTGTCGGACTTCCAGGTCCAGACTGACAAACAGGTGATGGTTAACCAAGCGGACATTGTGGTGGTCAACAAGTTATAGACAAAGGCTGTGGTGATAGATGTAGTGATCTCAAGCCCAGGACATCCTTGTAAAAGAGATTAATAATCTCAGTGGACTGTAACATCAGGAAGAAGGAGCAGCTGGAGAAATACCAAGGGCTGAAAGAGGAAATACAGAAGTTGTGGAGAGTCAAGGCGTCAGTAATCCCAGTGGTGATTGGAGCACTCGGTGCTGTGACCACAAACTGGAAGAGTGTCTCCAACAGATCCCAGGAACAACCTCAGAGATCTCTGTCCAGAAGAGCGCAGTCCTAGTGTCAAGGGGATTTAGGTAAAGGTTATGGATGATTATCAGTAACTGGTAAATTAATGTGAGTTAGAGAGTTGTTTTGTCTGCCCAGAGAGGAGCCTGCGCACCTGATAACTCCAAAGCGTTCTCCGAGTCTGTAAACTGGCAGGCTGAGGTCATCAGTATCTGTCTGATTGGCATTATAAAAATCACTTCTGTATACAGTCCATGGCAAACCTTGCGACCGGAGCTTCAGTGTCACACAGGGTTGTATTCGGGCATAAAAATTCCAGCCCAGCCCGAACACGTATCATTTTTACCGAGCCCGAAACGAAATCGACGGATTAACTGTAATGACAGGCCCGAACCCGAAACAAAAACTTGACTTTTTTTTAATTAAGCTTTTACTGCTTTTGTAAGCAAACATGATAGTTTTAAAAACATATTTCAAAGAAAGGAAGATATCAGATTTATTGTTTCACCAAATGGATATTAACATAGAAATAGCCTAAAAAAATCAACTCTAAAGATAGGATATTATCAGGGCCGGCCCAAGCCTCCATGGGGCGGGAAAAAAACCCTTACATGATTCAACCTGTGTTATCACTGTTTACACAATAAAATTATTGTGTAATTAATTTTTTATAAACTAACAAAACTACATTTCATACAATAATTACATTGTAATTACACAGTAATTGCACAATATAATGCAATATGTAGTCATTACTGAGTAGTTACACAGAAAATTTACGTTTTTGTATATGGAATTACAATTACACAGTGAATTTACCGTAATCATACAATAAAATTTATAATAAATATATAATTATAACAATAGTTTTATGGTACTTATATATAAGTGAGTATTTATACATTGATTACTGCAGAGGAAACAAGAGGAAAGTTCATCCTCTGCTTCAGGGTCAGTGTTTGTGTCTCCCGCTGTGAGTCTGTGTTTTACAAGCGTTATAAAATACATTTTATTTAATTACTTTGTTTGTTAGAGCAGCAGCTGTTCAGCAGCTTTTTGAGGAATTTATCCTTCTTCAGCTATTATCAGACCATAGCAGCTGTGTTAACTTCATCGCACAAAGTGTGGAAATGTCTTTACAGACCACCAAAACCAGAATCATCTGACAGATGTTTCTATGTGTTCAAGAGAAAACATCTGTCAACACAACAAGGACAACAATTTCATCTTCCAACATACCAATCAGAACGAGGTGATCATCAAAACAACAACTAACAGAAAAAATTATGACATTTTGATCTCTGAACTGTAGAACAAGAATAAAGAGAACTAAGATGGATGGGTGAGCACTCCTAATACTTTAAACTGATTTAATCTCAGACAACATCTGTCAGGGGACAAAAACCTCTATTGGACATATTGTAGTCACGACAGTTCTTCAGCGTGAAATAAAACCCAACAGGATATGAAGATAAATCTGTCTCAAAAGTAGTCGCACAAGCGTTCAACAAGATTTGTATGTGCACAATAATAAAACCCAGCTTTTCACCAGCCTTGAACGCAGCATTAACTTTTTGCATCTGGAGCTGCAAGAAAGTCTCAAAAGTAATAATAATAATAATAGTAAGTAATAATAATAGGCAGCTGCTCTGTGCGCTCGTGTTGGCAGGCTCGTCCACAGCAGGTGTTCTGTGCACATCTTTGTATGTGCAGAATATTCCTACTTGTGCACATTTGAAAAACGGTTTATGCATTTGTGAATCTTGTGCGTCTTATTTGTCTGTTCGTCATCAAGGTGCGCCGCAGCATGACAGCACTGATGAGCGCTCCGCTTCGACTCGCACTTTTATTTGTTCATTGTTCATTGCATCAACAGCATCTTCACAGACGCATGGCTCAACACAGGAGAGCCACCTCCTCTGGACAAGATTCAGCTGTTCACCTCCACCTCACAGATAAGGGACACTCTTTTGAGGACCAAAATGTGCACATTTTGGACCGAGAACACAGATGGTTTGAGAGGGGGGTGAAGGAAGCAATTTATGTAAAAAGAGAAAAGCCATCTCTTAACAGAGGAGGAGGCCTCAGATTTCCACTTTCAAAAACATATAATGCAACTTTAAAACAGATTCCCAGCCGGTTTTCACACTTGATGGGAACAGAGGGGCCTCATCTGTGAATTAGAGGAACAAAGACCTACTGTTAAGGTGTTTAGGTGTGAACTGCCAATCTACATATGTGTGTGTGTCATCTCACTCAGCCTTATAACCTGAAGCCCTCACTCACTGCTCTTTGAATTGAGAAAGCTCCTCGGATGAGGAGCGAAACGTCTTCTGTTACAAATACAGTCCAGTTGTTTTTGTATTGAATGTTTTTTGAATTCATCATGTCCTGGATGACTGAGAATCTTCACCAGCATTTTGTTCATTGTTGTTTCTGTTTTGACTCACTGCAGCTGGACTGCACTTTCACGCTACGAGTATGACAATGCACTTTTGGACTTGCGATCGTCAGTGAGTGGGGACTTTGGGTCAACTTTTGACTCTGCAGTGGACATTTTCCCTTGGGTAGCGAGTCGGTGTTTTGTGCAGGACCCACCAGAGATGCAGCAAATCCCCTCTCCCCACGGTCCTGCTTTTGGGCGTTCAGTCTCTGAGCAGTGTTTCCCCTAGATCAGTTCCCTTGGTGGGGCACTCATCATATTTAATTTTTGTCAACAGGTGGGGGTGGGAGGAGGACGGGACACTAGCTTAGCGGTACATTGCAGCCAGTTTTTATTGACCGGAGTTGGGGGGATTGCGCAGTGGAGTGGTACGTCAGTAGCATTTTTGCTAGCATGTTTGTATTGCGCCATGCGCTACATCAATACCAACAGTTGTTGACTGTGTGTGTGTGTGGGGGGGGAGTTTGGTAGGTGGTGGTGGGGGGTGGTTGGTAGGCAGGGCGCTCGATTGTGTTGTTGAGGGGGCAGGGTACCCTGCTTGTATAATGGTAGGGGAAACTGTTGTGTTCACTATATCACCACTAGGGGCATGAATAAGATATGTGTCCAGATATGTTTACAGAGAAGAGAATAAAAGAAGAGTAGAAATTAGCATCGTGGCTGGTGTACTTTTACTTCAGTTACGTTAAGAAGTGAGTTTATTATTCTACTGCTACCTAAAAATATAACAGAAACACTGTCTGAGGAAGAGACTGGATGACCAGCGCACAATGATTTATTGCGAACAGAACATAAGGAGCTGTTGTGTCTTTGCCTTTGCGTAAGCATTGCGGACAACTTCTCTGTCTACTGGCTCGACAGGACTGAGTCATATTTGTGACACCTAATATGTTTGTTGCTGCTGCACAATGTGGCTGTATCATGTGTGTCGCTGCCTTGCCTTCCTGGGTCAGTTCATCTCGATGTTGCTTACTGCCTGTGCAGTGGCCTGTCGCAAAACCTGTGTGGTGTATGTTGTGTGCAACATGCATCATGTGCATTTCAGCAGTGTTACTGCCTGTGAGGTACCTGTTTGCACTGATTCATCCTACTTGCACCGTTCTATTCTACCATGTTGTTTACTATATTTCTTTTGGACCTTGTGGATGTTGTATTTCCTTTTCACTTTTTGGTGCTTTATTTTGTACTTTTGTTGCATGCTTTATTTCTTTTTCTTTTTCTTTTGGCGAGTCGAGACGGTTCTTCTCGTCTCGAGCATTTCATGGCATTGCTGACCTTGTGTTGACCTGCATATGATAAATAAACGGTAAACTATTTACACATACAAGTCTTGCTATTCGCTTGTGTTAACTTGTATGTACTCTGATGTGGAGCAACATGTGTTCATGGTTTTAGAGAGAAACCTCACAGGGTTTGGACACAAACTGAGGTCCAGAGCTGAGCCCAGGATCAGGTTCAGTTGGCGCTCACTTTAACGGGAAGAAAAGTCCTGTTGGATGATGAGTCATCTTTGTTTTTATTCAGGCGAGCCAGACTCAGACCCATTCTTTCTCTCTCAAGCAGAACTCTGGGACAATACTAACCTCATAGATCCAGAATGAAAAAGGTCTCTCCCCTGAGTGTAATGTGTAGAGTCATCAGCTTCCCATTACAACGCTATAAAATCATTGGAAAATACAGTTTCAATGAAATAATCTCTAGAGCTTCTCATTTTGAACTGATTCTAATGAACATGACATGCGTTTGTTGCCATGGTCTGTCCACCATCAGACCCATTTTATCAGGTCAAATAATTTGTTCCCTCCATTCCAGTATTTCACTTTTGACCCAGTATGATGGTGTGTTTGTATTTTATGCAATAAAAGGTTGAAGTTTTGTGTCCTAAAACATGTTTTTTTCTGTTTGTGTTGCTGTGTTTCCTGCTCACCTTTTTAAACGTCAACAGCTTTCTGACATTCAGATTTCGTCTGGGAATGTCCAGTTCCCTAAAGAGGATTTTCAATTCTTCATCAAAGCATTTAATAGCAAAGCTTGGACATTTCTGCTGGGGGGACAAAGAGACATGTGAGGACACAGACAGGACCACAACCCTGACAAACACCACAGAAATAAAGCAAAAAAACATCACGTGACCGTCAGAGTGTGCGTGTGGATAGGTGAGTTGATGGATGGACGAACAACATGATGGATCAGTGGTCAGCATTGTTGCCTCATAGCAAGAAGGTCCTGGGTTTACGCCCCAGTTTGGACCTGAGGTCTTTCTGGGTGGAGTTTACATATTCTCCTCATGTTTGCGAGTACAGTACAGGGTACAGTACTCCAGTTTCCTCCCACAGTCCAAAAACTAATTAGGCTGTTAGGCTGCCTTCAGTCCCAGGCAGACCTTAAAAAAATTAATCTGTGATCTCAGTGAGATTTGCCTGGTTAGAGAAGCTTACTTATAAATAAAAACAGTTAAATAGACAGTTGGATGGATAAATCGATGGCTGGATGGATGGTGACAGTAAAATGGATGGAGGGATGGATGATGGTTGGATGTTTTGATATAAAGAAGATGTATGTTTGAACTGTGAAACCAAATAACTTTTTGTATATGATGGTGTGTTTGATGTCAGTCAGTAGTTTCTGATGGTGCATTTGATGTCAGTCAAAAATCTGTGGTGGTGCGTTTGATGTCAGTCAGTAGCTTCTTGTGATGCGTTTGGTGTCAGTGAGTAATTTTTGATGGTGTGTTTGATGTCACTAGTTTCTGATGGTGCGTTTGGTGTCAGTCAAAAGTCTGTGGTGGTACATTTGATGTCAGTCAATAGTTTCTGATAGTGCATTTGATGTCAGTCAAAAGTCTGTGGTGGTGCATTTGGTGTCAGTGAGTAATTTTTGATGGTGTGTTTGATGTCAGTAGTTTCTGATGGTGCATTTTATGTCAGTCAATAGTTTCTGATGGTGCGTTTTATGTCAGTCAA